ACTATCTGCCTAGGCTGGGTCTCGAACTCCTGGGCTCAAGCAATCTACCCACCTCAGCCTCCCAAAGGCTGGGGTTGCAGTCATTATAGAATTTTAAAAACACACACAAAGATATGATAGGAAGAGACTCCCACGTACCCATCGCCCAGTATTGACAGTCATCTGCATTTTACTTGTCTTATTTCTTCTGTTTTTCCCATCCCACATATGAGCACATTTCCTTCCACCCCCTGGAATTTTGTTTGTTTTGAGAAAATCACAGATATCCTTGTCATTTTATTAGTAACTATACTGGTATGCTAAATTTTGGAGCTGCTCACGTATAGATGATAGGTAAAGCTGTGATTTGCTGAGATCACCTAGACTGAGAGGTTGAAGAGAGCTGGGACTAAGCCTGAGCCTCCTGCATGTAGGAGCCAGGCTCCTGAAGAGGGGCGGAGATGGAGCCAGGAATGTTGGGGAGGGGATGACCTGGCGCCGTGGGAGTAAAGGGTTCCAAAGAGAAGGTAATGGACTAAGGACCAGAGACAGGGGCAGCAGCTGGAGGTGGATATGGGCCCAGCAGAGAAAAGACATGGCTTTTGATCCCCTATCTAACTATGTTATGGAAACTTCTATCTATAAGGAAACTGTATAAGTACTTATTTTTCTTTTTTTTTTTTTTTTTTTTTTTTTTTTTTTTTTTGAGATGGAGTTTCGCTCGTTACCCAGGCTGGAGTGCAATGGCGTGATCTCGGCTCACCGCAACCTCCGCCTCCTGGGTTCAGGCAATTCTCCTGCCTCAGCCTCCTGAGTAGCTGGGATTACAGGCATGCGCCACCATGCCCAGCTAATGTTTTGTATTTTTAGTAGAGATGGGGTTTCACCATGTTGACCAGGATGGTCTCGATATCTTGACCTCGTGATACACCCGCCTCGGCCTCCCAAAGTGATGGGATTACAGGCGTGAGCCACCGCTCCCGGCTTATTTTTCTTTTAACTGTGTGTGTGTGTGTGTGTGTGTGTGTGTGTGTGTGTGTGTGTGTGTAGTATAACTTAAGTGTGGTAAAGTATATAAAGGGCACACATCTTAAGTGTTCCGGGCAATGAATTTTTACCAATGTATATATCCTTGTAACTGCTAATCAGAGAACATTTCCAGCACCCAGACATCCTCCTCGTGCCCTTTCCCTGTCAATTCCCTTGCTCCAGAAGCAACCACCCACCTGATGCCAATCAAAAACAGGCACAGAGGCCAGGTATGTAGTTCACTCCTGTAATCCCAGCACTTTAGGAAGCTGAGGTGGGCGGATCACTTGAGGTCAGGAGTTTGAGACCAGCCTGAACAACATGGAGAAAATACAAAATTAGCCCAGCGTGGTGGCGGGCGCCTGTCATCCCAGCTACTGGGGAGGCTGAGGCAGGAGAATCATTTGAACCCGGGAGGTGGAGGTTGCAGTGAGCTGAGATTGCACTCCAGCCTGGGCAACAAGAGCAAACCTCTGTCTCGAAAAATGAAAAACAGGCACATAGATTTAGGTGTGTCTGTTTTTGAACTTCATGTAAATGAAATCTGTGTCAGTTAAAGAAAAAAAGAGAGCTAGGCATGGTGGCACACACCTATAGTCCCAGCTGCTTGGGAGGCTGAGGCGGGAGGATCTCTTGAGTGCAGGAGTTCAAGGCTGCAGTGAGCTATGATTGTACCACTGTACTCCAGTCTGGGTGACAGAGCAAGACCCTGTCTCTAAAAAAATAAGAGCTGAACTCAGAGCTAGACTTTCACAGGAGAGCAGGGGGAGGAATGGAAGGGCTTTGAGCATGGGAAAGGTGTGGGTGTTAGAAGAGTCCTCAGGGCAGTTGGGGGTTTCATGAAGGGGAAAGGCCTGTGACTGGCTGTATGAGCCTGGGGAAGCCCCTGCCCCTCTCTGGGCACCCAGTCCTCATGGGAGTGCAGGCAGAACAGAAATAGGAGAGGGAAGGAGCCAAAATCACCATAAGACCGTGACTCCGGAGGACAGAGCCCTCTGATTCATGTCTGCAGCCCAGCTCCTGGCCCAGGGCCTTAGAAGTGTTGATTTGGTGAGGATGGTGCAAACCTGCCAGAAGTGGGGGCATCCAGGCCTGAGTGCCACAGTGGAGAATGAGGGCAGGTGGGCCAGGGCAGAGCCAAGATAATTCAGAATACAGGATCTCTTCTATTTTCCAGGTTCTTGGTCAAAAGCCCCTTCTCACTGGTTCCAACCTTGCCTCAGCTGAAACCAACATGGATGGCTTCAGGCCCTCCCAGGCATTCAGAGGGTTCATTTAGTGACATTCACTGAGGCCCTGTCTATACCAGGCCCTTGGTATTGAAGACACAATTGTGAAGAAAAATGAAAATACAGGCAGGGTGCGGTGGCTCGTGCCTGTAATCCCAGCACCTTGGGAGGCTGAGGCGGGCGGATCATGAGGTCAGGAGCTCAAGACCATCCTGGCTAACATGGTGAAACAGCATCTCTACTAAAAAAAATACAAAAAAATTAGCCAGACATGGTGCCTGTAATCCCAGCTACTTGGGAGCCTGAGGCAGGAGAATTGCTTGAACCCAGGAGGTGGAGGTTGCAGTGAGCCAAGATCACGCCACTGCACTCCAGCCTAGGTGACAGAGTGAGACTCCGTCTCAAAAAAAAAAAAAAGAAAATACAATGTGAAGATCTCTTGAGTGTCTGAATGGGTCAGGTGGCTAAGTGCTGGGGCTCTGGAGCCAGGCTGCCTGGGTCACATCCTGGCTCCAAACTTCTTTGCTATGGCTTTGGGCAGTTACCTCATCTGTAAAATGGGACCAACAGTGCCTACCTTGCCTCCTTTCATTGAGATCACTTATTAAAAGAACTTAGCATGATGCTTGACCCAATGTTATTATTTGAGACAGGGTCTCACTTTGTCATCCAGGCTGGAGTGCAGTGGCATGGTCACAGCTCACTGCAGCCTCAACTTCCCAGGTTCCTCAAGTGATCCTCCCAGCTCAGCCTCCCAAGTAGCTGGGACCACAGGTGTGTGCCCGTACACTTGGTTAATTTGTTGTCGTTTGAGACGGAGTCTCACTCTGTCACCCAGGCTGGAGTGCAGTGGTACAATCTTGGCTCACTGCAACCTCTGCCTCCTGGGTTCAAGCAATTCTCCTGCCTCAGTCAGACTCCCAAGTAGCTGGCGCACCCCACCACACCTGGCTAATTTTTATATTTTTAGTAGAGATAGGGTTTCACCATGTTGGCCAGGCTGGTCTCAAACTTCTGGCCTCAGATGATCTGCCTGCCTTGGCCTCCAAAAGTGCTGGGATTACAGGCGTGAGCCGCCGCGCCTAGCCAGACCCAATATGATTATTGTGATAGGGATAGGTTTATGAGGCTGTAGGAGTGTCAGACAGGGCCTCCTGGAGGAGAGGATATGTAAGCTGAGGCCTGACAGAGGTGTAAGAAGGAGGTCGCCAGCTAAAAGGGAGTGGACAAGGGAAGAGTGGTCCCAGAAGAACGAGTTTAGCAGAGGCTTTGGCAACACTGCCAGGAGGGCTTCTTGCAGGGGAAGGGTGTCAGCAATTTCTGGAGGTCTCATCCATTTCCTTTCTTGAGTCCCCGCCTTTACTCCCCAGGTGGGCCGGCCTCCAGAGGAAGGGCAGTTTGTGACAGTGGGTGGCAAAGGCCCCAATTTAGCTCTCAGGGATGAACGGGCGAGGCTGGCTGTGGACTTTAAGGGAAATCCAAAGATAGCTCAGCAGAAAGGGATGACTTGCAGCCCGATCTTTCCCTCCAGAGGAGGGAAGTAAGAATGAATCAGCCCCTTAAGCTGGAATGAAGCCACTAAGGGAAGTTAGTCCGGGGTTTGAGGCCCAAGGCCACTCTGCCTCTGACTCACCTTGGCAGTAGGGCTGCATGGGCGTGAATATGGGCTCTGCAGCATGGATTCCTAGCTTCCGGCTGGGGGCCCAAGGGAAGGCCTGGTTTCCCTTCAAACTCAGTTTCTATCTCTATGCAGTGGGGTAGGGAAACTCCAAGAAGAGCCTTGAATCCTCAGTTTCCATATCTGTGCAGTAGTGTCAGGAGAGTGGTTATGGTGACTTATAAACAGAGCTGAGCACACAGTAGGGCCTCTGGCAGTGTCAGCCCCCTTGTTTGCCCCCTTCCCTTTCACATCCTCTCTTGAGCGGATGTGAGACGGGTATGTGGGTGGTTTGGGGCGGTTTGGGGCTTTTGTTAGTCTCTTGATGGGTGAGTTGTCATCTAGATTCTGGTAAGGCATGAATAGAGGGGAAAAGCAACAAAAAATCAGAAAAAGGGCAGCCATGCATTGCGTGAGAAAATCAAAAACAATGATAAAAATGATTCTTGGTCAGGCACAGCAGCTCACACCTGTAATCCCGGCACTTTGGGAGGCTGACGCGGGCAGATGGCTTGAGCCCAGGAGTTCAAAACCAGCCTTCACGACACAGTGAAACTCCATCACTACTAAAAATACAAAAATTAGCTGGATGTGGTGGCAGGTGGCTGTAATCCCAGCTACTCGGGGGCCAAGGCAGGAGAATCACTTGAACCCAAGAGGCGGAGGTTGCAGTGAGCAGAGATCATGCCACTGCACTCCAAACTGGGCGACAGAGCAAGACTCCATCTCAAAAAAAAAAAGGTTCTCTCTCACATATTTTGTTCTTACTAAATGCGTCTGGGCTACTCTGTTTTAACCTTCACAGCAGTTCCATGGGGAGGCAGTCCCATCTCACAGGTAAGGTAAACTGTTGAGAGGTGAAGCTACTTACCCGAGGTCACACAGCCAGTGGATGGCAGAACCAGGATTTGGACCCTGATCTGTGTGAGTTCAAAGCCATTGCTCTTTGCCTGAGATCTGGGCAGGGGTTTGCCGAGGACTGCCCAGCCTACAGAGCTGGGAGGGCACTTAGGGGAGAAGGCCTCTGAAACAGGTTCAGACAGGGCAACGGTCCTCCACCGGCCTGCCAGTTAGGAGTGTAGACATGTTTAGAGGGAAATGTCAACTTCTGGCTTTGTTTAACATTTATTACAAAGATAAGAGCAGAGGCTGGTGAGTTACACTTCTTCCTCCCCCGCCAGGTGTTCTCTGCAGCTCTGGGAAAATGGTGTCCTCTTTGTTGTTCCGCCAGGGTGTGCCACCTCCTGTCCCACCCCAGCCTCATATCCAGTGCTTCAGCTCGGCCAGCGGTAACCGAAGCCTCCCAGAATCCTGGATCCGGGCCCCCAGTGCCCTCTTCCCCAGAGACCCAGGAGTCCAGCCTCCAGGCACCTCCACTTGTAACCGAGAGCTGGAGGTCGTCCATAGCAGCATAGTGAGAGTGTTTTTGAATGAGGGTGTGCAGAGTGGCGGTGACCATGTTCCCACCTGCGGTCTCAGGTGGGCCAGGGCCTCCCCACTTCAGCCAGCATCCCCTCCAGCAGCCGTCAGCGAGCCAACCCACTCCAAGCCAGGGCCCCCTTTGCTCTTTGCACTTGAGGTGCTTTGTTCAGGGCTGGGTCAGGAGTGGCAGAGAGGGTGTCCATCACCTCAGTCCTGGGGAAAGTAGCCTGATTCCTCCTCCCTGGGTCCTGGAGAGACAGAGAGACTGATGGGCAGGCAGGCCAGGAAGAGGGGGAGCGAGAGTGGGACACACCAAGGTGCAGACAGAAAGCGGTGGGCAGAGGTGAGAGGTGGAGGGTAGGCATCTCCGGGCCCCGAGGCCAGGGTGTGGGAGGGACAGAGACATTCAGACAGAGACATTGGATGGACAGAGCCAGAGAATGTGCCCAGGACAGGCAGAGAGAGAGAGAAAGAGAGAGCAAGCAAAGAGGGAGGAAGGCATCAAGCGTCAGTGAAGGGGAGAATGAACGTCTTTCTTCACTGCCAGTCCAGCCCTGAGCTGAGTCCTTTCTCCAGCCAGTGCCAGAGCTGAAGAGAAAAGGTGGCCTTGTCTCCAGGCCATCCCCTGCCCCCTTGGCCACACAGGGTGCTGGCCACAGGAACCCTTCCTCCAGGATGCCTTCCTGCCCTGGTCCCAGCCCACTCACCAGCTATGTGGCCTCCTGGCTGGGTTCTGGAAGCTGCCGCGGCCCCAGGGCTGTGCTAAGCAGCTCAGTCAGGGCATCCAGCTTCCCCGACAGCGTGTCAATCTGTTTCTCCAGGGCCCGGTGTGAGCTGCTCAGATTCAGCTGCAGGTCATACAGGATCATGTGCATCTGAGGGGGAGGAGAGGGTCAGTGGCGTCAGGGGGCTGACGACTGCCGCCTGCTCCATAGTGAAAGGCAAAGGAACCAACATTGACTACAACCTTATGGTCCTCTCAGGATTATCCTCAATAATAACTGTTAACATGGATTGACACCTACCACATCCCAGCTACCTGCCCAGGTGTTTCCCGGTATGGTTTAAAATCCTAAAAGCCATGGGTAGTGGGAATCCTGTTCCCATCTTACAGCTGAGGAAACAGGCATGGAACAGTTAAATGACATGCCCAAGGCAGCCCCTGAAATAAGGCCTAGAATATAGTAGGTGCTCATTAAATATTTGCAGCATGGATGATACCCGACTTCAACATCCACTCAGTGTTTGACTTCATTCTCTCACTAGGACTCACAGCTTGATCCCTGAGGGTTTGTGAGTTTTCTATGGAAATTCTTGAATTGTGTGTTTTTTGGCTTGATAACCTTCAGAAATTGCCGCCTGCCCATTCCTGTAGATCTGGGCCACCGCCTCCTCACTGAGACTGGCCATGCGGTTTTGGGACCTGCATCTGTGACTGTGCTTACCACGGCACTGGTGCCAGGGGCCACTGTTTGAACTGTCATGGGCTAATAAGAAAAAGCAAAGGCCACGGGATAACCAGAAGGTGCTGTGAGCAGGGCCAAGGGGGTGTTGTGGCATCACTGTCCCTGAGCACTGGCGAAATCAAGTCGTCTCCGCAGAAGGAAGGGGCGGGTGGCTGAGTCACACCTTGGCCGGGCAAGCTTGCATGGAAGTCCCTGTGGCCCTGGGCACCCCCTCCACAGGAGCAGCAGAGATTTTTACGGAAATAATGTCACCTGTTTCCTTGTCAGTGTTGTTAATTTTAATTGTATTTGTTTTGCCGTCTAAGGGCTTGGTTTGTAAATTTGCTTTGGTTTTACTGTATGAGTTGTAGTTGGAAGGAATTTTATATCCGTCCACATGTAAGTAACTTAACCATAAAGATATTTTGAAACCAAACACTGGGGTTCTTTGTGCAATTGTTTTTTTCTAAGTTTATAAGGGATCTGTGCCTTGTGTGAATGTAAAAAGCTGTGTTGGATCATTCATTCCTTCCTTCCTTCCTTCCTTCCTTTTTCATTCAACCACAGACCTTTACTGACAACCTGTGTGTGCCAGGCCCCTGCCAAGGTTCCCTGTTCTAGGGCCAGATTTCCATTCCTGTGGCCTCAACCTCCCCTTTCTTGGAGACCTCCTCCCATGGGATCCTTGTACCTTGGAGACGTCCACCATGGAGTTCACTTGTTCCCGGAGCTTCCTGTGTTTCAGCCGCACCTGGCGGAACCTGTGGGAAGAAGTGGGGAGTCAGTTCTACAAGCCTGGTCCCTAAACATGGCTGTAGCTCAGGGGTGGAATGAAGGAAGGAGAGGAAAATGAAGAAACAGAATAAAGAAGAAAAGTTGGCCAGGTGTCGTGGCTTACGCCTGTAATCCTAGCACTTTGGGAGGCCGAGGCGGGCAGATCGCCTGAGGTCAGGAGTTCGAGACCAGCCTGGCCAACATGGTGACAGCCTGTCTCTACTAAAAATACAAAATTTAGCCAGGTCTGGTGGTGGGCGCCTGTAATCCCAGCTACTCGGGAGGCTGAGGCAGGAGAATCACTTGAACGTGCGAGGTGGAAGTTGCAATGAGCCGAGATCATGCCATTGCACTCCAGCTTTGGTGACAAGAGCGAGACTTCATTAGGAATCTTCACTCAAAAACAAAAAAAGAAGAAAAGTTGTCAAAGAGCTGAAGGAGTGGGAGGGGATGGCTGCACCCTGCATCCCCATGAGCCCCCATCCCCAGTAGAGACCCAGGTCCACAGACACGCCAAGATATGCAAAGACAAACCAGCACAGACATATAGAGGGTCATGCATGGTCAGATCCATGTGGACAGGCTGTTACGTGAGACCACACCTGGGCATCCTGACCTGGGCAGGCACGGACACACACACACCCAAGCTGTGCAGAGAGATGACTGGGACATGGGTGCACACAGATACATGCTCATACAAAGCAGCCCTCACGTGCTGATGGCAGCCAGCAGCCTGCGCTGATGCCTGCGGGCGGCTCGGGACTCCTTCCTGCGAGTATGTTTGTAGAACCTCCAGGCTTCTTGCAGCACTCGGGCAGCGGACTCCTTCATCTGGGGGTGGGTGGGGCACAGTGTCAGTGGAGATAGACCCTTGGGGCTCTGGGAAGGCAGGGCTAGGGCTGGGACTCTTGGGTCCTAGGGGAAGCGGGGTGGTGGGAGGGCTGGACTCATGCCTCTTCAAAGAGGGGTGTCCCCACTGAGCACAGTGGCTCACGCTTGTAATCCCAGCACTTTGGGAGGCCGAGGCAGGTAGATCATAAGGTCAGGAGTTCGAGTCCAGCCTGACCAACATGGTGAAACACTGTCGCTACTAAAAATGCAAAAATTAGCTGGGTGTGGTGGCGCTCGCCTATAATCCCAGCTACTGAGGAGGCTGAGGCAGGAGAATCACTTGAACCCGGAAGGCGGAGGTTGCAGTAAGCTGAGATCAGGCCACTGCAATCCAGCTTGGGCGACAGAGCAAGACTCCATCTCAAAAAACAAAAGAAAGAAAGTGGGGTGTACTGTGGGTGCCATATGCCCATCGTCACCTCTTTGGCATACTGGATATCCATCATGAAGTTATGCACATGCTTCTCTGCCTTGTTGAACTCCAACTTCCGGGCCACCACGGCCACCAGCAGTGCTGTGCAGCAGACCCCCTGTGGGCAGAACAGGCCCTGTGGCATGAGAATGTGCCACCAACTCCCTCCTAAACCTGCCCAACAGCCACAGAAGGCAAGTACAGCCATCCCCAGTTGACAGACAAGCAAACAGGCTCAGAGAGGAGAGCCAAGGTCCCCAGCTCAGAGAGGTGGAGCTAGAATCATAAGTTGTTTATGTCCGAGCCCAAATTTGATGCGTAGTATTCACGCCCACAGGATGGGCTCTTTCATGAAGGGTATGATTGGAGGAGCAAGGGAAGGCTGGGTTCAGGGCCAAAGGCAGGCCTCTGGGTCCTCACTGCTGACGTGGTCCGCCACTGTGTTATGAAGGGTGTCCCTCCTCCTCCCACTCCCACAGCCACTTCCTAGCTCCAGCCCTGTCCTCTCCTTCCTGGACCATCTCCAGCCTCCCACTCACCCTCCCTAACCCCCTGGGCCCACTCTAATCTCCTAGACTTCCAATGCCCTGAACTTCTCAGCCTGGCTCCCAGGGCCTTCCAGG